GTTGAAAGAAAACACAGGACCACGAGCCACCAGCATCAGCCACCAGCACCAACCACCAACCACGAGCCACCAGCACCAGCCACGAGCCACCAGCACCAGCCACGAGCCACCAGCACCAGCCACGAGCCACCAGCAACCCAGCAGAAGCAGGACGCACAGCAGCTACACAGGGTCACCCATCAGCTTGCCTGGCTTGCTGTTGATTAAATCCACCACCAAGCATTGGTGTGTATGTTGCATACGCTCCTGTGGTGTTAAAGGAAAACACGGGACCAAGAACCACCAGCACCGCACCAGCCACAAGCCACCAGCACCAACCACGAGCCACGAGCCACCAAGCACCAACCACGAGCCACCAGCACCAACCACGAGCCACCAGCACCAACCACGAGCCACCAGCACCAGCCACTACAACCCAATAAGCAGAAGCAGGGGCAGCACCTCAGGACGCACAGCAGCTACACAGGGTCACGCATCAGCTTGCCTGGCTTTCTCTTCCATCAATCCACCACCAAGCTTTAGTCTGGATGTTGCATCAGCGCCTGTGGTAAAAAACGGACACGGGACCACGAACCACCAGGCACCAGCAACAGCAACTACAACCCAGCAGAAGGAGAAGGGACAGCGAACCCCCAGCAGCAGCCACCAACCACCAGCCTCCATACAAACAGTAACACGAGCAGAGATTCACAGCAGCTACACAGCGCCAGCTATCGGCTTGCCTGGCTTCACCTGCTTCGTCGTGAATGCATTCACCAAGCAATCCACCCCCCGAGTTGCATCAGCTCCTGTGGTTCAGAAAGGAGAAGGAACAGCAAAGCCCCAGCACCAGCCACCAGCCACCAGCCACCAGCCACCAGCCACCAGCCACCAGCCACCAGCCACCAGCCACCAGCCACCAGCCACCAGCCACCAGCCACCAGCCACCAGCCACCAGCCACCGGGCAACAGCCTCCATACAGACAGTAACACGAGGCAGAGACACGCACAGCAGCCACACAGCTTCAACGCCACCTTGCCTCACTTTTATCACAGCTTCTCTCTTCAGCAGACCCCAACACAACCACATAGACCACCGCAAAGCAGCAAACGCCACCACCGCCCCCTCCACCACCCACCCACAACACTCTACAGGCAACAACTGCTTCAACCTGTCCCATCCACCCTCACCTCCTCATAAAACCCCTTAACTACCTTCCCCCAGATAGCTATCCTTGCACACACTATCTAAACTCTTATCTCCTCTCCAGACCCATCTCCTCGCCAAACCCATCGGCCATCACTAGGCAACCTTCTCCACAGACAGCCACCAAGAAACAGCAGCATCTCCACATTCCAACTCTCACCGCCACCACCCCTACCTTTTCCTTCACCAGAATCTGTTGCTTCCTGCTTCCCCCACCACCTCCTTGCATGGGTATCATCCCCCACAACCTCTTTGCATGGGTATCATCCTTCACTACCTCCTTCACTTCACCAGCCCTGCCATCCGAACCTTCCACTCATCATTGCAACCTTGACCAACTCCCACCGTAACAGCTGCTACCCCACTGCAAACCTCTCCACCTGCCACTACGCACAGCTACCTCTCTCCGCCTCTTGCCACCCCTCATCACAATAGCGCAGCCCTCCACTGCCCCACCCCAAAATCTCGAACCTGCTGCATCCTGCGCCCATACCACTACGCCCCCACACTCCCATCTCCCATGCGCAATGCTTTTCCCCCCACACTCCCATCTCCCATGCGCAATGCTTTTCCCCCCACACTCCCATCTCCCATGCGCAATGCTTTTCCCCCCACACTCCCATCTCCCATCTACTGCACCCTTTTCCCCACGCCTCCCCCAAGCCTCATCCCTGCCACACCCACACTTGACCGCCCGCTGAATGTCAATCACAACCTTTCACAACCACCGAGCACCAGCCGTCTGAGTCGGTCCCGCCAGACCAGTCACTTGCACACACGCACCTCTCAGAACCATTTCCCCCTCGCCCCTCGCCCGTGCGCCATCTTTCGGCCCCACTCATCACGCAGCGATTGACAGGTGCACCAGTGGATGTTCACCCGTCCGCCCCATACTCGTCCGCCAATCATCGCTACCACCATCAGATGTATACACGTAGCCGTGTGCCATGTCTCATGACGTTCGTTTCTGCCAGTGGAAGCCTCGCAGTGAAAGCCTCTGAGTCTCTCAGCAGGCGTGCAGACAGCCGACACGCGCAACGCTCAGACTCTGCCGCCACTCGTCCAACGCCCGTCCGCCTCACGCCCACCCGCGCATCCCAAGACTTGTTCACCAACATCGCCGCTTGCATCACATGCCCCACCGTTCCTCCCACCAGTGTGCCGTGTGCCAATTATAATTTCACTCACACCGTCTGCCCTCCCATTGTTCTCATCCAGTTGTAGACCGCGGTTGCCCCCATCAAACGCCCGCACACACCGCAGCCTCACACTCCCACGCATAGAACGCCCGTCGCTCAAAACCTGCCAAGAAGGGAAGGTGCCTCCGGTGTAGCTTGTGGCAGTCCCAGCAGACGTGCAGACGCGGCTGCCATCTGTCCCCAGACGTCCCACACTCATCAGCCGTGAGCTACTCGCCACTCGCCTATACGCGAGTCGCCTCTGCGCCAGTCTTGGTGTCTCGATCCGTCTCCCACGCAATCCACGAGCTCACCACTTCAACCTGCAACTTAGCGGGGTTTGGCGAGCATTGACCGGGTGCAGAGGGTGCAGCCTGTGGTTGTCCGCTGTCCGCCACCCGTCCTCATCCGCCGTCCACCCGGTTGCCATTCAGGAATTGGCGCCCACCCGGTTGCCATCCACCCGTCCGTCGCCCACCCGGTTGCCATTACCCGTTCGCCGCGCACTCGCCCGCCATGCGTCCAGCCGTGCATGCGTTGCCCTCGACCATGCAAATGCCACTCGCCTCTGCAACACCTTGGGCCCCGTGTCCCCCTCCCAAGCGTCCCACCAGCTCATCATTTCAACCTGCAAGATGATGTGGTTGAGGGTTGTGGTTGCAGTGTCGACCAGTTGCAGCCTGTGGTTGTCCCAGCAGACGTGCAGACGTGCAGACACCACTCAACCCATCCTCGCCCGCGAATGTCCCGCCGGAAGTCCCACCATGCGTCCATCCGCGCTCGCAAGCTCGGGTTCCCTCGCCCCCTCCCACGCGTTCCACCAGCTCGTCACTTCAACCTGCAAAAAGATGGCGTTTGTGGGGTGTCGACCAGTTGCAGCCTGTGGTTGTCCCAGCAGACGTGCGGGACAGGAAACACACACGCCCCTCGTCAGTCCGCCATTACACCCGCCCGCCGCGCGCCCATCGCGCCCATCCGCCGTGCGCCCATCCGCGGTTGCGTCCATCCACCCGCTCACCACCGCGCTCAGCCCATCCCCACAGCTAGTGCTGTCCCACCCATACCCATGCCTGTCTCAGCAAACACACAGTCGCAGCAGACCCTCGTCCTCGCTAGCCAATCCCCCGTCCAACAAACTCAACCACCCACCCTCGACCATACCACTGTTCGTGTCCCAACTGAAGTAAAAAACCTGCAAGTATAAAGGGGCTGGCGCGCGTCTCCCTACAGCAGGCCTGAGGTAGATTCAGCAGACGCGCCGACAGCAGACGTGCCGACCACAGACCAGCCCACCCGCGTTCGCCCCGCAGCAGCCGACAGCAGGCCAAACCACCGGTCGCCACCCATGCGCCCACCAGAGCGACCTCACCCCACCCGCGCGACCTGACGAGGTGCAGTAACAGAGCGACCTGACCCCACCCGCGCGCTCGTTACTGGAGCCCGCAGGCGCCAAGACGTGCAGCCATGCAGCCATGCAGACGTACAGACGCCAAGACGTGCAGACGTGCATGGCACTCCAACCCACACCCAGCGAACCCGCCTCTTCAAATCCTGCAAGGGAAGGGGATTGGGTGGGAGTCTCCCGTTGCAGCCTGCAGTTGTCCAGCAGACGTGCAGGCAGAAGCCACTCGCCACTCCATCCCACTCGCGTTCAACCGCTTTTCCGACCGTGTACCCCCGCTCGTCGCCCGCACGCCCCCGCACGTGCTCCCTTGTGTGTCTTCCCATCGAGGACAGCAGACGTCCCTCTCTCACGTCACGTCGCTCTCCCTCCAGTAACCGTTACTTGGCTTGTACTTCATTCTTACTTATCACGACCTGCAAGAAAAGGGGATTGGGTGGGTGTCTCCCGTTGCAGCCCGCGGTTGCCCAGCAGACGTGCAGACAGAAGCCACTCGCCACTTCATCCCACTCGCGTTTGCGTCCGTCCGAATTTCCGTCAGCCGCTCGCCACCCGCACGCCCCCCCGGCGTGCATCCTCACGCATCTTCCCATCCGCTCTCGATTCCATCCGCGTTCATTAGCGTGTGTCTTCCCATTGCAGCCGTGCAGACAGCAGACAAACGCACGTCCCTCCACCGTTCACCAATCCTTTGCACCTTATACTTGCTTTTCACCACCTGCAAACAAAAAAGGATCGGGTGGGTGTCTCCAAATGCCGCCCGCGGTTATCCCAGCAGACGTGCAGACAGCAAACACACACACGCGCGCTCGTAGCCCGCACCGACCACCCTCGCTCACGTCCCGCTCGTTCGCGCCCATCTTGATGCACCTCCCTTTCACCTCCTCACGCGTCTTTCCCCATCAGCGCCCGCTGTTGTCCCACCACAGGTGCAGACAGCACGCACACGCCACTCAATACCGCTCTCGTCACCCCACTCGTTCGCCGTTCGTGCCCGCGTGACATTTTCTGAAGCACCTGAGTGTGTTCTTTCATCCTGCAAGATAAGGGGTAGTTGGTGGGTTAGTCCCGTTGCAGCCTGTGCTTGTGGTTGTGTGGTTGTCCCAAGCAGACGTGCAGCAAGCAGACACGCCATTCGATACCGCTCCAAACGCCCCTCTGGTAGTCCTCTCGAAATCCTGCAACAGAAATGGGGTTGGCGTTTGTGTCGTCTTGCAGTTGTCCCACCAGACACATGCGCGCGCGCGCTACCCTATTCTCGCCTCTTCCTCTTGTCCCGCTCGTTCGCATGCCTCGCCTCTGCACCTCCCTTACACTTGCGCACGCGTCTTCCCATCAGCGCCCGCGGTTGTCCCAGCAGACGTGCGGACAGCAGACGCGCGCCACTCAATACCGCTCCTCGCCTGTGTTTCTTCATCCTGCAATACACGGGGTGGTCGGGGGTCACTTGTTGCAGCCTGTGGTTGTCCCAGCAGACGTGCAGCCAGCAGACACGCGCCATTTCACACTGCTCCTCGCGGCTCACTCGCTTGTCACTCCTGCTGCCTCGATTCCAAAGCGCCTCTGGTTGTTCTTGAACCTGCAAAAGGAGGGGGGTTGGTGGGTGTCTCCGGTCGACGCCTGTGGTTGTCCCCGCAAACGTGCAGCCAGCAGACACACACGTGCACGTCCCCCGCACCCGCCCGCGAACTCTGGTTGTCCCGCTCGCTCGATTTCATTCTTCACCTCCCTTCACCTCCGCACGCGTCTTCCCATCAGCGCCTGCGGTAGACCCAGCAGACGTGCAGACGGCAGACGCGCGCCACTCATTACGGCAGTCTCGCCCCGCGCGAGATCACCTCTCAACCCCTTCGTGTCTTGCCATCAGCGCCAGCAGTTCTTTAACGAACAGGCAGCCAGCAGACACGCGACCTCATGCAGACCATTTGCTTCTCGACCTGCAAACAAAATGGGGGATGGTGGGAGTCTTCCAGCAGACGTGCAGCCAGCCGACTCGCGCCACTCGCTACAACCGCTCCTTTCCCCACGCGCGTCCACCCCTCGAGCCCGCACCCTCGTGTCTTCCCATCAGCGTCTTCCCATCAGCGCCCGCGGTTGTTTAACAGACGTGCAGACAGCAGACACGCGGCAATAGATCCCACTCTTCGCCATGCACTCGTTCGCCCCTCGTCAACATGTATTTCCGAAATGACTTTTGAGTCGACTCAAAAGTCACCAAGCACTCGTTCGCCCCTCGTCAACATGTATTTCCGAAAGCCCCTCTGCTTGTCCTTCAAAAACCTGCAACAAAAAAGGGGATTGGCGGGTGTGTCCTCTGCTGCAGCACGCGCTTTTCCCCCGCAGACGTGCAGCCAGCAGACACACGCTCTTCGCCCCACGCGCGTTCACCCCTCGAGCCCACACCCGCGCCCTCGTGTCTTCCCATCAGCGCCCACCGTGGCTGTTTAACGGACGTGCAGACAGCAGACACACCCACCGACTCCCATCCAACGAGTTTGCTTCTTTGCTTCTCAGCCTGCAAGGGGGTTGGCGAGTGTCTCCCGTCACCGCCTGCGGTTGTCCCAGCAGACGAGCAGCCAGCAGACACACGCAACTTGTCACAGCCGTCGCCTGCGCGTTCACCCCTCGAGCCCACACCCGCGCCCTCGTGTCTTCCCATCAGCACCCGCGGCTGTTCAACGGACGTGCAGACAGCAGACACGCAGCCTCACATCCAACGCGTTCGCTTCTCAACCTGCACGGAAAAAGGGTTGGCGAGTGTCTCCCGTCGCCGCCTGCGGTTGTCCCAACAGACGTGCAGCCAGCAAACACGCGCCAATCAATACCGTTCCTCGCCCCACCCTCGTTGGTCACTCGTGCTCGCTCGGCCCGTGCCCCTTCTCAAATGCCCCTCTGGTGGTCTTTCAAGATCCTGCAACAAAGAAGGGGGTGTCCTCTCCTGCAGCCTGTGGTTGTCCCAGCAGACGTGCAGCCAGCAGACACGCGCCACTCGATCCCGCTCGCGTTCGCCCACACCCGTTCTTCTCTCCCTCGCGTTCGCCTGGAACCCGTTTTAGCACAGCCGCCACAGAGCCACCGGTTTTAACCTGCAAACACAAGCGCATCCCGTGTGTCTTCCCGTCTCAGCCGGTGGTTCTTCACTCGGCCGTGCAGACAGCACACACATGGCGTCCATTCGTTGTGTGTTCAAGCCCCGATCAGCACCCCGCCCTTTGCGCCTCAACGGTCGCTCGCCCACAGTGCTTCCTAGACCCGCCACACCCGGTCGACTTGCACGCGTTCGTTTCAGCAGAAGCAGCTGCCCCAACGAATACGCCGACAGCAAAAAGTTTGTCTCAGCAGTGCAGGCTACCCTCTCCCAAGCACGCTCTCTCCCTGCCCTGGTCGCACAGAAAAGCAGCACACACAGCAACAGCAATACCAAGCAACAACCACCTCCCTATCCCATTAACAGCTACAGTTCGCGAGGAAATATGCACGAGGACTAGAACGTTGCAGCAACTATAATCTGATCTATGCGCAACAAACACTTCAAACACACCAGCTTCGGTTGGGCGGACTCTACGCGTAATTACAGGCGATGATGACCAATGGCAAACAACACGAACAGCAGGATGAACGCAACGATGCAGACACGAGGACGCGGTGGTAGACGCGTAGATGGAAGCAGAGGAGTGGACGAGTAGACAGTGGACGGCAGAGCAGAAGCAGAGACGTGCAGACAGCAGGCGGAGAGACGCAGGAGTTCAGCAGGAGCAGCAGACAGCAGCGCGAGGAGAGGCACAAAGCAGGCGCAGGTAGAAATGGCGCAGGGGGGGCGCGGAAGGGAAGCGCGGCAGAGAGGCGCGGCAGAGCTCGCAGCCTGGACGGGGGACGGGGGGAATAAGGCTGGCGGGGCGAGAGACGCGGAGAGAATACAGGTTATGGGGCCAGGGGGGCCCAGGGGAGGGGGGGGGGAGGGGAGGGAGCGGAGGGGAGGGAACGGAGGGGAGCGCCAACCAGGAGAGAGCCAACCAGGCAAGGAGGAAAGGCCAAGAGCATCGACGTCTAGAGCACTGCACGATGGTCAAAAGGAGGCAGCAGCGACGGACTGGAGAACTAGTAAGTCACACCGCATTAGAACACAAGAGTCACACCGCATTAGGAACCTGACGAGGAGAACCAAAGCGGCTGAACGAGAAGGGACGGCCAAGGGAGAGGTGGGGGAACGCGGCCTGTGGGGACGAGAGCGGTGTGGCTTGGAGAGGAAGGGAAACAGACACAGGTTATGGGGCCAGGGGGCCCGGGGGGGGGGGGGGGGGGGGGGGAGGGAGGGGTGGGGGGGGAAAGGAGAAGGGAACGCCAACGAGACTAGGAGGACTCTGACAGGCCAAGAAGGACTAAGAGCACCGACGTCTGAGACAATAGCGGGTCAATAGGTGTACTCAAGGGCATATGAAATTTCAAGAGGAACGAAACACCTGACCGGCTGGAACCGAAACACCCGAAACATCTGCTGACGCGGTTGGACGACCGACGAGAGGCCCTAGAACACACCCTGTGGGAACTAGGCAATGTGGCTACAGGAGGGAGGAGACAGAAGATTACTGGGCCAGGGGGGCCCAGGGGGAAGGAGGAAAGGGAAAACGCCAACCAGCACTACCAGAACTCGTGTAATGCAAGGAGCGGACTAGGGTAGAGGCTATAGCTTGAATGGAGTGATGTAGACTGGAGCCAGCAGGGTGTGAATAGGAAAAGCTCAATATCGCCGGAGCATAGGGGATTAATAACGTCCGATCACCGATTAGTAGCCTGGCGAAACTGCAGGTGACACGTGGTGAGAATCGTAAGACCCGAACCACCTTTGACTGTTAGACGAGAAGTGGCAGACGCAGCCTGTGGGAATGACGCAGTGTGGCTAGACGAGGGAGGAAGGAGACAGAAGGTTACAGGGCCAGGGGGCCCCAGGGGGAAGGGAGGGGAGGGGAAACGCCAACCAGCACTCGTGTAACACCGGAGCGGACAAGGGTCACAGCTTGAACGGAATGAGCTAGACTGGACGCAGCAGGGTGTAAATAGGAAAAGTCTGATAGTCCAGGTGCGGAGTGAGTGTGGCGAATATGGTTCAATCACCTATCGTTATAATCTGGCGCATCTGCAGCTGACGCGTGGTTAGAACCGAAAGACGCAAAACACCAAAAGGGTCAGAGGATCTAGGACAGGCGACTGTAGGCGGCCTGTGGGGACGAACGCAGTGTGGCCAGAGGAGGGAGGAAGGAAGGAGACAAGGTTACGGGACCAGGGGGCCCCAGGGGGGAGGGACGGGAGGGGGAACGCCAACCAGGAAAAGCGCACGCGTAACGGATGGAGCTATACTGGACGCAGCAGGGTTAGGAGAGAAATGCGTTTGAAATTCAGTTCAGCGAGGCTATATCGTTCAGTCACTGAGAGCTTGACGCATCTGTGGCTGTGCTTGAACCCGAAAGACCCGAAACACCTCCACAGTTAGACGATCGACGATAGGCGGGAAACGAGCCCTGTGGGAATGACACAGCGTGGCTACACGAGGAAGGAAAGAGACACAGGTTACGGGGCCAGGGGGCCCCGGGGGGGAGGGAAGGACAGGGAAACGCCAACCAGAAAAACCGCACGTGTAACGGAATGGAACCGGAGCTACAGCTGAAACGGGAGGAGCTACACGTAGCGGGGTAAGGAGAAAAGACGGCTTAAACTTTGTGAAACTTAAAAATTGTCCGGTCACCGGTTGGTTGGCGCATATGTGGCTGTGCTAGGCGTTCGACCTCAGGTGCCAGAGCAGGCTGTTGGGACGCACGCAGTGTGGCTAGACGAGGAAGGAAGGAGACACAGGTTACGGGGCCAGGGGGCCCCGGGAGAAAAGGACAGGGAAACGCCAACCAGAAAAAGCGCACGTGTAACGGAATGGAACCGAAGCTACAGCTGAAACGGATGGAGCTAGACGCAGCGGGATATGTAGAGAAACGGCATATTTCAGGTATAAAACTTCGAGTTCGTTCAGTCACCGATTGCTTGGCGCCTCTGCGGCTGTGCTCGAAACCGAAAAAACCCGAAACGCCTAGACGTTCGACCTCAGGTGCCGGAGCAGGCTGTTAGGATGCACGCAGTGTGGCTACACGAGGGAGGAAAGAGACACAGGTTACGGGACCAGGGGGCCCCGGGAAGAGGGGGGGGGACAGAGACAGGGGAACGCCAACCAGGAAAAGCGCGCATGTAACGGAATGCGCTACAGCTGAAACGGATGGAGCTACATTGGCGCAGCAGGGTATGGAGAAATGAAAGGCTCGGGTTTTTCAGGCAGAGAAATCGTTCAGTCACCGAATGCTTGACGCATCTGCGGCTGCGCTTAAAACCAAAAGACCCGGAACACCTAGACGGTTAGACGTTCGACCTCAGGTGCCAGAGCGCAGCCTGTGGGGATGAACGCAGTACGGCTACACGAGGAAGGAAGAAGAGACAGGTTACGGGGCCAGGGGGCCCCAGGGAGGGGAGACAGACAGGGGAACGCCAACCAGAAAAAGCGCGCATGTAACGGAATGCGACCGAGGCTACAGCTGAAACGGATGGAGTTACAGCAACGCAGCAGGGTAAGGAGAGGAAAGGCTTGTAATCTTCCGTAAAAAGGCTCAATCACTCAAGCAAGTCACCAATTGCTAGGCGAATCTGCGGCTGCCATGTGCTTGACACCGAAAGACCCAAACCACCTAGACCGTACCGATCGACCACAGGTGCCAGCGCACAGCCTATGGGGATGAACGCAGTGTGGCTACACGAGGGAGGAAGGAGAAATGCACAGGTTATGGGGCCAGGGGGGCCCCAGGGGGGAGGGGACGGGAACGGGAACGCCAACCAGGGAGAACGCACGTGTAACACAACGAGGGAATCGAGACCGCGGCTACAGCCTAGACGGGAGGAGCTATGTTGGACGCATCAGGGAAAGGAAAGAACACGGCTTTTTAAAAAAACTGCAAGTTCAGAAGCTATATCACTCCATCACCGACTGCTTGGAGAATCTGCAGCAGACACGTGCTTGCGAGCGACACACTGAACATGAATCCTCTGCTGTGCTGCTGGCAGGGCAATCACAGCAAACACGGGACTGCGGAGGAGAGAAAAGCACCTTATGCCCCGGAGCCCCCAACGGGGATGGGGGAAGGGGGAAAAGGGGAAGGGGAGGGAGATACAAAAGGAGACACGCCAACACCAAAGCGAGGCACGCGAAGCTGAACGAGACGTAAGGTAAGAAAAGGTTGAACGAATGCTAGGCTGAACGAACACTAAGCTGGTGACTACAATCGACCACACCGTTCGGCGTCCGCAGAGCGCAGTCTGTCTCAAGCGGAGGCGGGCGATTGAGCGAAACGAACTGGCCGCAGACACCCTGGTGTGCTGCTGGCAGGGACCCAACGGACCAGAGGGGCGAAGAAAGGGAAAATCAAACCCCAGAGCCCCAGAAGGGGATGGGAAAGGGAGGGGAACGAGGCAAGAAAGCGTGGAATCTACACGCAGCAACGAATGACAGTCTAATCTGACACTCTTGACGGTTAGTCCAAAAACGAATCGCAGACACCAGAAAAGTAAACGGCAGCACATGGCTCGAACTACCCGATCGTTCCATTAGGTGATTTGAGTGCCACGCTTTCCGCTAGCCCAGAAGGCAACTCGGACGACAACCTGCCCGCGTGTCTGCTGGCGTGAAAAGGACTACGGGAACAGAGGAGAAACGTGAAACCCCAGAGCCCCGTACGGGGATGGGGACGGAAGGGATGCAAGGCACAGCAGGTCCGACACCTACGAGCAGCAACGAGGGCCAAATACGAGGTAGTAACACTGTGAAGAGCGACCGACGGAAACGTTGAAACTGAGATGTGTCGTAGCACTAGCTTCGCGATAGCTCCACAAATTGCTGGCTGAATTCCGAAGACGACGACACCAGTCAGGACGAACGCAGGTGAAGTACTCTAGCCATGACCGTTGAAGGAACTCTCGAAAGTACTGAATTAACCGGGTGGGATGACGTGAGTTAACGCCGAGGCCGTCAGTGCTGTTAGTGAGGCAACCGCACCCAAG